GAGAAGAGAAGAGAAGAGAAGATGTGAGAAGAGAAGAGAAGAGAATAGGAGAGGTGAGAAGAGAAGAGAAGAATAAATGAATTTCTTAAAAATTCCTTACGTACGCAATATTCAGTTAAAACTGCATTTTCGTTCCAAAATTTCGAGTGTCATAGTGAAACATCCTTTCCCTGACGATGAGTCGGAGACCAGAAAGCTTTGAACAAATATTAAATTTTAAATAATGCGTTGACGAAACGAATTTCTAAGAATATAAATGATGTCAACGCACAACCATGTTTTTAAAATAAATATGTAATCAACGGAGAAAATACTTTTTTTTTTCAAGAAGCCTTCAATAATTGACTGTTCTTATTTTCCTTCAATCGAACAATATCAAAATCACTGTGTTTAACTCTCTTTTATCCAACGTGTTCGTTGACCCATGCGCAGTTGAACTCTGACACCTCTGATATTGGGATTGAATGATATAGTTGAACATGCAAGATAAACAGTTAAATATGAAAGAAAACCCGAAAAACAGCTTTTACTCAAGCAAATACAGATGTGATCTTGCAACAATTTTCATCGTTATTTTTGTGTATCCAGTGTAGCTGATAAAATAGCTAATACCATGTAAAATGTATAAAAAGCCCAAAGAACAAATCGTTTCTCTACCTTTCTGAGTAGCATCAGCTCTACTAGAGATCAACATGAAGCAAACAGTTGCAGTTCTTCTTCTCGTTGCCTTCTTGGCTCAGACCTACGCGAGTGAGGAGTTTGACGACTCTGATAGACACCCTTATGTAGTAAGCAAATTTTCTTCCTTTTTATTATAACATTTTTCTTTATTTTTTTAGTTTCATTTATTCCTTGCTTCCTTCCTTCCTCCCTTGCTTCCTCGCTTCCTTCCTTGCTTCCTTGCTTCCTTCCTCGCTTGCTTCCTCGCTTGCTTCCTCGCTTGCTTCCTTGCTTCCTTGCTTCCTTGCTTCCTTGCTTCCTTGCTTGCTTGCTTGCTTGCTTCCTTCCTTCCTTGCTTTCGTCCTTCTTTGAAATCATTCCTTTTTCCCGTCCAGTTTCTATAAACTGACACTATTATCGACAATTATCAATCCCGCAACTTTGGAATTATATCTTCCACATCTTATTCTATAAATAACCGTTTAATAAGTTTGATTATCTTTTCTCGTAGCAATGTAAGATCGACTTGTACGACTGCCTAAGGCTTAACAAGAAGAGCAACACCCAATGCTTGGCTGACTACAAGACCTGCATGTCTGTTCTTCTTCCCACTGTACCACCACTTGTGGTAAGTTGAAAAATTTGGGATATCAGAACCAAGGGCGTAACAACCTCCCAAAGATGTTTTACTAAAAATCATACATTATCTTTTTTTCCTATTTTGTCAGGCTACCTAATTTGGTGGAATATTTTTCGCGCCAAAACGCGTGTGCTCGCTTCCCCAACTCCGGTACTCTCCCGCGCTATACGCGGCTTCACTTTGAACGCTTTCCAAAGAAAATATCTTCATACGCTTTTTGGAAAAGCAAAATATATATTGCTCAAACGCGTAGAACAATCCATTGGGGTTTAATGCTTTCCCATTTCAGACCTCGTATCATTCTCTTGAGAATAAGATTCTTTGAGTTTTATCCATATTTTTGTGAGTGTCTTCTCATGTACAAACGCTAGTAAACAAAGAAATGATAATCTAGGGAATGACACGTGGCTGACTGAAATGGGAAAACATTGCGCTCAAATCTTAATAGTTTTCACTTCACATTTATATTTTTTTGAATATTTTCTGTGACCAAAACTTTTGCTGTCTCCAAATATATTTTGAATACCCATATATTGATATCACTCAAACTGTCAATTTGTGAAATATTCACAAATATATAACGGTAAAGTAAAGAATGCAAAACTTCACAATACGAACACTTTGAAATTCCACGGACCTTCACTGGAACACATGACTATTCTACACAAAATCGAGACTAACCCTGAGCAACAGAGAACTCGAAACTAGAGTATTCAACTCGCAGCTTCTTCACCATACAGTTGACTTTAGTGAATGATTTGCTCTTAAACGAGACTGAACCTGTACAAACGAGTCTTGAGTCATAAAACACAGCGCTATTTACTGAATGAGAAAAGGACTATATAGCAAGGCCAGGGTTTATTGGACCGTGGAGCAAATAATAAATTGTTGAATCCTTTCTTCAGGTCAAGTGCAAAAACGAGCTAACGGTCTGCAAAGCCAATGCAGGCGGTTTGTACGACAAAATGAAATGCTATGCCAACTTCGCCAAATGCATGGTACCAACTGAACATCCATACTTCGTAAGTAGAGATAACGTCTAGATAAAAACGAGCTGCGTCAGTGTTTCTAATGAAACAGTAATGATAAAAGGGTAAATTATACACCGTAAAAAGACTCGTCATGAAAAAAACTTACTGACGTTTCGGACGCTAGTCCTCCGACCAAGGACTAGCGCCCGAAACATCAGTAAGTTTATCATCTTTTTACGGCATAAAATTTACCCTTTTATCATTACTTCGTAAGTATGGCTTCAAATCTAATGCTGGTCTTCAATCATTCCCAAGAGAATGAACTAACAAAAGACACGGCGGCCATATTGGTTGATATAACAAAATAATTCATCGACAATTTGTTTGTTAAATTCAACCAATTAAGATGGCGGCTATGACGTCATGTGAAAACGCAGAATTGTGGCACTTGTCACCTCTGGGCTCTCAGTTTTTCTCCAGGTTCTCCGATTTTCCTCCTTTTTTTTATAAATTCTTTTTCTTTTTTTTTGTTCTTTTTAATCACGATTTATAGTTTTCTTTGCGGTGCTATAATAAAAATAGCCCCGATAGCTCAGTTGGTGCAACATCAGACCTTTAATCTGAGGGTCAAGGGTTCAATTCCCTTATCGATCGGTCGATGTCTTTGTTTCATTCATTTTGTTTGCACGAGTACGTTACTGTCTAACTCTATTTTTTGAGTGACTGATTGATCAATGCCATTATCAAAATACATTTATACTCTCTTCAGCAATGCAAAATCGATCTGGCCAAATGCGTTAAAGACGGAGTCAAAGACAAGTTGGTTTGCATGAAGGACTACAAGAGCTGCATGGCACAACTGCTTCCTACAATCCCCCCAATCGTGGTAAGATGGCACTGCAGATATATCGCAAAAATACCGGTTATAGCCAGGGCTTATACTCATTCGTAAGGGTATACCTTGGGTAGCAAGTTAAGAGACTATAAGCAAGAGAGGCTCATATAAATTGAAGGATATTTGCGTATTTTTTTTAGGCATGAAAGAGGGGGCTCTAAAAATGTCATGCATGCAAAGGGGGCTCCAATTTGAATTTGAAATTTCATGAGTTGTTAGGTGGAGGGGGAGGGGAGGGTGGGGCTTTGAAAATCAAGTTGTCATTTAGGACCTTTAAAAAAGGTTTTTGAGAAATCTTCAACTCCCCTCCCCCTCGGGATATTATATGGACTTTTCTTTAGCAGACTAGTCGGCTCGTTATAATCGGTATTTTATGGTATTTTACTAAACAAAGATAATATTGATAACTGGATAACTACATGATTGCCGGTAAGGGTAGTGACAGAGATCAAAATGAAACAAAAAGGAAAACGAGCTTGCTATATATTGCTATTAAAAACAATCCTATTTTTCTTCTTTCTAGTCCAAGTGTAACGTGGGGTTGAATACATGTCTGGCTGCTGCAAATGACTACAAGGGCAAGGCCAAGTGTTACACCGACTTCGCCAAATGCATCAAAAATGGATTAACCTCATGATGTAATAGATTTGAAATAAAAATACAGATCCTAGTACTAGAACTGGTTTCGTATTAGTCAAATACCGCTGTGTTCCTTGATCACAGACTCGTTTACTCAGGATTACCGCTCGTTTTAGTGTCTAAATATTCACAAATACCAACGGTAAAGTAAAGAATGCACAATTTCAACAATACAAACACTTTGAAATTTGGAACTTTACAGAAACACATGAATATCCTACACAAAATCCAGGGGAATTTATTTCTAACAGATATGTAGGGGGGTGGAGGACTAAACTTTTGTCTTGGAAAGGGGTGTATTGTTGCTACACAAGCTTATTATTCACCCCACCCCTCCTGATAATAACATTTACATTTACATTTACCAGTTAGGTCATTCGCTCTATATTGAGCATTTTACACCACGCTAAATAGTTAATAATTAGTATATATAATAGGACTCCATGCTGTCCAATTAAGAAATCATTGGATGAGGAAAATTCCGAGGACTTCCAAAATTGGATGCGGCCATAGGCTGAGTCCAATTTGGCAGTCAGAGGAATTTTTCAAGTCTAATTATTTCTTGATTGAATGGGGAGCATGAAATCCCATTACCTATTAATTATATAGCTGCCTAATTAATCCCTTATCAACAAGACCTGTCCAATTAAGAAAAAAATTGGACAGTTACCTATATGGGATTAATGAGAAGCTGTATAATTAACATATTAATAAATAGAATAAATAATAATAAATAGTAATTGTCCAACAAGTTAATAAATATCTGCAACTGCATTCTTAAATGCTGCAAGTGAGGTTGCTAGTGCTAGTGCTAGTGCTAGTGCTAGTGCTAGTGCTAGTGCTATTGCACAGTCCCTAAAAATGGCAATTTTTTGTTATTTTTCCTTTTTACAAAAAAGCTTATTACAAGTTTGGCAAAGAACACTGCTCTGCTAAAGCACGAACAGCGTTCCTCAAAGCATCGTAATCCTCAATCTTATTATACACATGCGCACTGATCCGAGCGTAAAGTCCTCCATTGATTGGCTTAATAGGTACTTCTATCCCATAATTGTAATGTAGTCTATCTTGAACCAATTCAGCATTGGCTTTGCTGACAATATTCTGTGCGTCAGTCATTTGAGATCGCCAAAGGATGTCTGGAAGACGTACCAGAACCATTGGACCATACGTATGTAAGGGAAAGAGTGTGTCTGTCTTCCAATCCCCTGACAGCATTTTGGCAGCTTTGTGAGCGAGGTTTCTATTGTGATCCTGAATTCTATCAACTCCTAAGGTGTTCCAGAATTCCAATACTGTCGAGAGGATAAAATATTTTTTGTTTAAGGTGCACTTACTTGGAGCAATTTTCTCTACAAATTGTCTCGCAACTGCTTTGTGACAAGTTGCAAGAGTGTCTACACGGTGCAACAGAGACTCAATGGTTTCCAAAAGTAGAAACGAATTCTACTTTTGTCAATGATTGCTGCAAATTATCAGGCAACATTTTTTCAAATTCCACTGTCAGTTACACGCTGCAATTCTCCATGCATGCTGTTGTGAGACAAGTAGCAAAGAAAATTGCTCCCTGTAATTGCGCCTTTAGACTTCAATGCCAACTGTGGTAAGGGGGGATCATAAAAATTGTGCTTTTTTCCGGATCAGTTAATCTTTTCGATGCTGCAACAAAAATTATCTGATGGCGATAGATAATAACTCAAGGGTCCCTTAAAGAAGAAAGAAAAAAAAGTGAAATTAAAGTAGTTGCATACCTGTGTGAAGAGCAAGAAAAGGGCTGTAATCTTTCAAACCTAAAGATTTCAATAATTATTGATATTGTTAATAACTTCCATGACTTAAAAATATGGGGAGGGAGGAGAGGTAAAGTGGGAGGACAGGTCAAGTGGGAGAAGAAGGAAGATTGAAACAGTGGATGATAATTTTTTTCCAGATGAAATCGAAGTCTGCATTACGAAGGTACCTCTGAATACAAATTCCGGTGTAAACCCTCGGCCAAACCCGCCAGACACTGTTAGACATCTGATAGATGACTGGTGTTTCTTGTCAACATATAGAGCTCCACAGCCCTGAAAAAAAAAAGCCAGGAAAAAATCAGATAAAATAGGACTAATGCAGTGTAGGGGTGTGTAATTTGGTGAGGGAAAGGGGTACCCTGGGTTCCAAAGGCTCCCTCGTTTTTAGTGCTTCTCAGTCGTAGGAGTCATTATCAGGATGACAAAAGAAGCACTTGAGCGAGAGAGCCTCTAAAACCCCAAGTGGGGACGAGAAAAAATAAGTTCTCAACTCCGCAGGGCTGCACAACCAGAAATGCTTGAAAATTTTTTTCTTTAATAAAACAAGAAGCCTGATCTCTTTGATGCAGCCGAACAACACTTAATAGGGGGTTAATGGGGTACATTTTGTGTGCTGCTGGCAATGGCTTGAGAAGATTAGTAACAAGTAATAAGTATGAATCTCAAACAAAGAATCTTATCCCCAAAGGGTTGAAATGAAGAAACCTTCATATTAACTTGTGTATCTGAAACTCCTTTGTTTCCCCTAACTCCTTCCCAGACCCCCTCAACCACAGCCAACCCACAAAGAGACCCACTTCACAGGATACACTAAAAGTAAAAGGGTCATAGCTTTTCTGTTTTTCACAGGAGCAATTAGAAAAAAAAACAAAAAAAAAATTGTAGACATAAAAAAAACAATACTAAGAGCTCTTTTGCTTGTGAGTAACGTTTACCTATTTCAAAATCATGTGTCATTCTCTTGAGAATAAGGTTCTTTGTTTGAGCTGTATCCAAATTCATGTGTCTTCTCATGTGCAACCGTTAAACAAAAAATGATACTCTAGGGAATTTGAATGACGTGATCTGAAGTGGGAAAGCATTACACCCAAGCTATAAAGGTGAATACCTTAGCATTGCAGAGCCACTTGTGACAATTAATGACATAATAATCAGCATTTAAAGTTGTTAGATTGAGTGGGATTGCACCTAGAGCATGCGCTCCATCAATCAATACTTGAACACCCTTCTGATGACATATTTCAATGATTTCTTTAACAGGAAGAATGATTGGATGGACGGAAGGGATGTGATCAAAAACTGCCAGCTTAGTGTCTGCATCAAGGGTCTTGGTGATAGTATTTAAGAGCTCTTCTTTCGTAAATGGAAAGCTAAGTGGAATTTCTTTGATTTCTATTCCTAAAGAACAACAACAAAAAATTCATTAAAAAGTACACAAAGAACCAATTAAATATTGCAAAGAGCAATTTGATAAAGAGTTTGAAATTTCAATTTCAACTTTATACAGAATTTTTCTGCTGCAGAGATCCTAGCCTGCGTGCAGCCGGATACAGTTATGTTTAGCTGCACTCAAGCTATAGAGATGCCCGTTCATGCTCAAGTAATTTACTAACACAGGTATCCCAACCCCAAATACTGAGCCTGGTAAGCTTATGTGCGGTAAGCAGTTTTCATATGAGTATCAAATCATTGATACCTACCATAGGTAATATTATAGCTGTAAGGACACATTGCGATTTGATGAATTACTAGATGACGAAATTATGGGAAGCCATTTGAATTTTATGGTTAGTCTCCTATGCAGCCACTATTAGTGTCGTCACACAACACTCACTCCCTTTTAAGTACCTATTTAGGGGAGTGAGTGTTGTGTGACTCACTCATACGAAAGCTGCTCTATTATGAATGAGCTTCAGTGTACTATGCAAAATAAATGTATCAGATCTGGTGCTAGCTTTGCTATTTGACAATTTGAAAATGCTTTGGCCTACACCCCTGGGACCATGATTGACAGATTGACTGCAACATCACTCACCATCCTCTTGCTTCAAATGAGCGAACAACTTATTAACAGCATAATATCTCAAATTAAGATAATACACCTTGTCACCTTTGCCAAGCCTTAGAGATCTTATCACGGTATTGAGACCTTCTGTTGCATTGGACACTAAGACAAGATCCCGCGGGTCACACGAGACAAATCCCGCGAGTTTTCTAATAGCAAAAACCATACGAGGCAATAGCTCTCTATCGATGAAACGGAGAGGTTGTTTCTCGACGTGGATTTGGATTTGGTGTACAGTTTCTACTGCAGCTTTTAAGGTGCCTCCGAATCCTCCATGGTTCATGAAAATCCAGTTTTTAAAGTCGATGTAGAAATGGTCTCTCATCTCGTCGCTTCCAAGTTCTACTTTAGCATCAAATTTTGGTAAACTGAACGGCAAAGATGGAGGATTGTATTCTTCTTTCGGGAGAGAAACGAGTTCGTTAGCTTGTTCGTATGACATTATTCCCGCCATGGTGGATTTTACAGAAGTTTTCTCTAATATAATGCCTTGGCTCAACTCATCGTTTTTGCCCGCCATTTTGGATCGTAACACAGGGAGCCCATCTACGGAGTAAACTGATAATAGTCCATAATTATTTTTAGAAACCGTATTCTTGGTTTTCACCTACGTCATCATGAATTTCAAAAGCGTAAATTCGCATTATAATGAAATAAAAGTCTTATATTCTTGTAAAGCGTTCCAAACTACATATACTGG